CATGAGGTTTGCATAGACCTACCTCTCCAGCCTGTCAGTGGTATCAAGACCAATTATGCCCCTAAACAGCCTTCACTCCAGAAAGTGGCGTTAGAAGTCAAAAAGAGTGATGCTGGATCTGGCTGGTTGAGACCTACTGGTTATTTTGTATCTTTGGGTTTGGGAGGGAAAGTAAGTTCTTTTTTATTTACCTCCTTATAGTTTTTCCTTCAATCTGATATTCAGGTACTTCAGGTTCCTTTTGGATGAGCCATGAAATATAAGCATAAAGTTTTAATGCTTTATAGATACCAAGAGATAGTAAGATGAACTGGTCTATCTTACTTGGGGTGTGACTGCCAACTTAATTGAAGAAGTTTGATACTTTAAGCTACCTTTATTTCTGTCAGTATCTAACTAAACTTGATTCATTTTAAAGGTCAGATTCAGTTCTTAAAAAAACTGGTCATTTTTAGTTTGGAGCTTATTTAGTACTTTGATGAGGTCTTGTGTTCAAAATTTCAGAGATAAAAATGTATGGCAATTCTCCCTTGGTTGGCTCTCTTTTTCAGATATCTCCCCAAGGAAATTTGACAACCCATTGTAACTGGTGAGAGTTTTGCTAACTGATCAGAAGATAAAGCATGTGATTATAATGTAAGAGCTGCTATTGTTGAGGATATTTTGCTACATGTGCAGCAAAGTTTGCCAAAGTTTGACCGCAGCAAAGCAGTCAGTCCACAATCTTTGTTCTCAGGAGAAATATTTGCTGTCTTGATTTTCTCCTGCACACTCCCAGTTGTTCTGCTTGTCCCTGTCTTATTTTACTTCTTGTTACTTCTGCAGTTGATTGTATTTCTTAAGGAGAAAGAGGGGGGAAGCAAATTGAATTATAGCTAGCCAGAGGAGTTCAGGAGGATAAAAGGCTCTTACAGCAATATGGGGGGGGGATGAAGTAGTGGAGAATATCCATTAATTAATGAGGTGAATGAAATTATGATCATTCTAAAATGGCTGATTTACTTAACTGCTTTGTAAACTGATCTTTAAACAGGGTAAGTTTATTAAAATATTTTAAAAAGAGGAAATAACTGAAGCCCTGCTAGAATAACAGTTTTAAATAATGTTACTGAGTTATTCATTAAAAAAGCAGTAGATAGTTCACAATCTTGGAACATGTTCAATAATACCACATTTTGCAATATTTGTTTTGGGATTTTGATGGAAAATTCCCAGTTCCTGCAGTTGTTTTCAAGACATAAAACTCACTCAGAAGCATTGTTTCTAGATCTCGTGGTTGCATAGAAAAGCGCACGAAAATGTGAATAGAAGTTCAAAATCAAGAAGACCAATAAGAAGCATGTCAGATGCAATATATGAGGTGTATGTAAGTATAAGCAAAGCAGTTTTTACATCTGTGCATGACATTCGTGAGGCCAGCAGTGAGATATTGTGTTTGATTTTGGTGCTCATATCTTCTTAAACATTGAAAAATTATAAAGAAGTTTTCTAAAAGGGTTGAGAGCTAGAAGAATACCTTGCTTGGACAGACAGACTGCTGGGATCATTGACTTTAGTTTCTTTTGTTTGGGTGTTTTTTTTTTTTTTTCAAATTGCCAACATTTTCCCAATGATTGCGCTAAATATAATAATAATGGATTTAATCTGACAGTAGGTTTGCTGCTCTTAGATTACTTTCTGCAAGCATTTTAGAAGCAATCCACAGATAAATAGGACTTTCTGGAACGCAAGTTGGATGTCATTGACTATCTCATTTTCACAGCAGAGGATGGCCTCGTCCAGCAGCCCTTGTATCCCTGTGCAATTGAAATTACTGCACATGCACAGCGGATCCCCGCTGCATCAGAGTGGGACAAATTGGAGGCCAGATCACTTTCCTACATACAGCTGCATACAACAGAAGGTCAACCATTTTTCTTGCATCTCAGAACACTGCAGTTCATTATGTATAATTCACTAGTAATTCACTAAAGGATACGTAGGAATTCACTGAAGGATTATGTGTAATTCACTAAAGGATATTAATTTGGCCTGAGAACCCAGATCTGGAAGCTGAGCTCTGACATATTAGACAAATTAGGGATCACACCCAGATTTTAAAAGGAATAACTGGCTGCGGCAACAAACTGCTGCAGGAAATGGTAAGTTCTGTGTTGCTTGATGTTTTTGAAGCCATCTGGAAAGTCATGCTGCGAGTTTTTGGTTCGTGGAGCTAGAAAGACAAAAGTTTGAGGTTTCTAAGTCTATGACAAACTGGAGATTAAACTACATAATCTAAAGTATGTTTTGGTATTAAATGTCAGAGAATCAAGAAAGTAGGAATTTTGAGCAGAGGTAACTGGGTGGAGGTTCAGGTTCGATAGGTTCTCCAGTTTGACTAAGTACTTGAGCACATGAAACTTGGGGTGGACAGATAAATGACCCAAGAAATGGTGACATTAGAAATGCAGGTAAGAAATGATGAAAATGGGTTTATCTCTAAGGGAGGGCATACTGGTTTATCTATTGAAAATCATCTTCAAGGCCAGATGTTTAAGAAGAGATTTATTTTTATTTATTTGAAAACCATACTACTTGGTGCTGATGTCGGGAGGCTTTAAGGCTGTATAGAAGTTTGTGATGTGAGTCTGTAAGTCAGTGTGACACTTCTGACAAAGCTGGGAGAGAAGGATTGGGCAGCCCTGCCTCCCCCAACGCTGAGGCCAATCCTAGAACACAATGTCTGTTTCCAAATGCTCCTTGTCAAGCTCTGAACGTCAGTCTGAGATGTGACTTCCAAATTTTAGTTGTTAACAATTCCAGTCAGTTGCTAGTCTACTGCTGCCTTGGCTGCTGTGCCCTCCTTTTAAGTAGAATAATCTGGGTGCTTCTCTTTTAAAATTTAAAGTGGCTCGTACGTTTTCGGTAATCAATTGTCCAAAGGACAGCACATTCCTGTTGGACTGAAGCACTTATACGGCTGTAGTCCGTCTGTCTTCTCACATAGTCATTTTCTTGGATGGGAGTCATCCCCTTGCATTGTCCTCCTTCCTTCTCCCACGTATACACTATTGAAACAATGAAAGGGGCTCAGTATTTGCTTGATGAGACAAAGATAAGAGCTTCTTCTCATTTCTGTATTTTCCAGGCTGCAAACGCTGTTTTTGTGGATTCATGCATCTTGGCTTTGTAACACCATGTCTGTATGGCTATGCTTTAGCAACAGCTCTACTAAGCAAGCCAGTTCTCAGTGCTGTTCTTCAGCCCCGGGGCCACTTGGCCACATCTGTACTACCAGACACTCTTAGGCTTGAGACTGAGTGGCTGCATCCAAACCGAGCGTTGATGGTTCCTGCGCCATACAAAATCTTTAAAAAAGCCTGTGAGTTGGTCGGGAGTGCACTGGTTGACCAAAACTGTGCCAAAGACAGTTACAGTGATTTAATAATGCTGCAGATGTCTGTGTGTAGATGCTACAGTGCCTCTTCCTGGGCATTATTTAATTTACCAGTATTGGTGTGGCTGTACCCTGTGACTCAAGGATAGACGTGTTCCCATTGCCCAGTCAGGTCTGTGTTGTGAGATGTTGCTTCCCTGAAGAGATTCTCTTACTATACTCACAAAACCTATGTGCTTGGTGGACTTGACTGTGATTCATGTATCTGAAAAAAGAATAAATACAGCAATTGAAAAAGTTTTGTCACTCTGTGGTTCCTCTTGGGGACTTCTTTGTGCCTGTGCAGAAATGGAAATGAAGAGTGATCTTCAAAATTTGTAGAGAGAAATAGGCAGCTCTGTCACTGGAAGGTCTGGCATAATCATGACAGCCATCATCCCTCTTTTGCTTTTCATTGGGTTCTTAGAATTCTTTCTTGACTTTCCTGAGGCCGCTGTTTGTCTGCTCTTGCTTGTAAGGATTGTACAATAGTTCTGTTGTGTCTCCTGGGGTTTGAGTGATATCTTCACTCTGCTGTCCTGTAGGAATTGTAATAAACTCTTGACTCATAAGAACATTCACAAGAAGGATGGAAAATGCCTTTTGATCTCTTTGCCAAGTTCTGTCTGCTGTCCATCTGCCATCCTTTCTTCTCAAGATCTTGAGTTTTGAAGATGATCTTGTCAAGGAAAAGAGATTAAGGGAGCTTATTGTGATTTTTCAGTTCCATTTCTGGGTTTTACAGCAAATACGTGTTCATTGTTCTGGCACCTTGGGAAGTTTAGGAGTTAAAAATGCTTTTGATGAGCCAGCATGATGATTGAGGTATGTGAGAAGCCTGCCTTTGGAGGGGAAAAGACTGCAGACTTATTTCTTTAAATGAAAGCTCAGTGGTAATTGAATGTGCTGCACTTTCCTTGTTAGGGCAAGTGATCTGTGACAACATTCCAGGTTCAAAAGTGACTGACTTCAGAAATTGAACTTCAGAAATGGGACTTCAGTCAAATCAACTTTGGTCCTTCAGGCCGCTAGAATTTCCGCTAGGTGTGGTTTTATCTTTTTTTCAAGGTAGCAACAAAAAGTTAGGGCAACTTGAACTCTTCATACTTAAGAGTTGAAATTCATAAATCTCACATCATAACTGGTTAAAACTTCTCCAGAAAAACTCAACCTCTGGCCTCAACCTGACAGATTTGGCGTCTGGGATTTCTGTCTGGTGCATACTTAGCAATAGGCAAAATTTTGTCTGAAAGGAAGTTGCAACCTTCATTACTGAGCAGCCACTGTCTCTTTGTAGCAGCGGTTTATCAAAAGTGAA